AACTAGCTTTTTACTTTTATCTTTACAGAGTTCATTCATTTGAAAGAGATAATGATTTATTAAATGAAGCTTTATCCAAAAGAATGTATCAAGAGATGTTTTTGACACCATTAATCACTAATCTATTTCAAAAAAAGTTTAAGAACATGGAAATCTACTTGCAAGTAAAGTTTCATATAACCTATGTTCATTTTTTAAGGATCATTATATTGATATAAAACGATAAAAAAAATATTAGTGAAGAGAAAAATTTGTTCGCCTCTGCAGAAGACTTTGATCTAAAAAAAAATGATAAAGAAAATCGCAGCAATGGTCATAAAATTGATATTGTCTGGGCTACTAAGCCCCTAAAAATAGAATTTGCCATTGCAGAAATAAGCGGACCTCCAAATGAATACCAACATTCTTATTATTTTAGTGACAAAATCAAAATAGCCAAGATGTTAAAAATTATGTTGAATAGAATAGTGCGAGTATATGGTGGCGCAAAATGAACTTAAATCTTCTAAAGCTTTATGGGCTACAAGTCTATAGTGAGAATTTATTGAGCTACAATTCTTTTTTCTTTGCAATTAACGTTAAATACCTAAATAATATTTATAGATCATATAGTAATTGTATATGAGCTTTTTATTTCATATAAAGGAGTTTACATTTTTAGAGAAGTTACTAGAACTAATCTGCCAATGACAAGTATTAATATATCTTTATTACATCGATGTGTACTGACTTTTTTGTTTTTTAAGGTATTATTATTATTATTATTATTATTATTATTATTACTATTATTTTTATTTTAATTTATTTTTTTTAACTTTATCTTTAATAATAATATACATTTTAAGGAAATTATTATTGAGAGTTTACGAAATATAAATCAATATATTATGGAGGCTGGTTTGAGCATGCCAATCGATAATAAGAATGCTAATTTGTTTTTAACACCCATGACATATTCACCTTTTGATAGAAAGACTAATGGTTAGAAACTTTTTTTTTTTACGTATAAAGATAACAAATGCACAATTTGTTTTTTTTCACGATGTTTGTAATAATTGAATAGGTTTTGTTTTAATTGCAATGTAAATATTTGTAAATATTTGTTATCAATATAAATAGAATTATTAAAATAAAATAAAATTTATTTTGCTTTATTCAATATGCTAACTTTGTCTTAAATTATACTGCAAGAGTGTCACAAAAGATTATTATGTTTTTTTTTATTAAAGTAATATTAAAAAAAAAAAAGCTCTTATTCTTGCATGTAATTTTTATTTTTATTTGTACTGGTACAAATAGTAGTAACTTTGTAAATCTCTATAT